AAAGAAAAGCAGCATGTAAAAAAACACAGCAATCTAGAAGCTACATAAAACAATAAAAACATTAGAATGAACAGATGAATAAAACACACCATTAAGCAGAAGATTACAGCCGTATTCTGTTAAATAAAACACTTTTTTAAGATTTCATATTTTTCCACATTTATTCCTATTGCATATTGACTTTTTCCCATCCAACAACAAAAATGCAGAAAAATCCATCCCAAGCAGCCCAGAGCAAAGATCTGAGAGAACCAGGCAAAATAAACATAACAGAGAATCAGATACTGGTCCAGTTACAGACTAAAAAACTTTATATATATACATATATGTGTATCACCGTGATGCAGGGCTGAAGGAAGGATGGCAAACAGGTTCATATGCAACAGATCTGATGGTTTTTTATTAGTTTAATATAAAAACGTGAGAATAATGGATATGATCTGAAATTAAACTGGTTTATTTTGGGTCATTAAGGTTTAGGAAACTGGAGAATAACTTTGATTTTTGCACATTTTGATGATGGTTTCACTGTTGGTGACGGATGTTTTTTATGCCCTGTGAAATTAAGTTGACTTAGACTGAGCACAAAAAAAGAAATGTTTTGCTTAAAAAGATAAAAATTGTATCGAATTATAAAGGTTCAGATCAGATTTATAGGCAACATTGGATGCAAAGACCTAAAGTTAAGCAATAATTGTCTCAGGTTTTATTAAAATATTCCTCCCCCCTCAAAAAAAATCATTAGTGAGCAGTTTTACCTGCCAGATCTCGGCTAATTACCATTTGGCTCCACACTTGTATCGATATTTGTCATTTTCTTCTCTGAAAGAAAGAAAATGATCCCATCTAATGGAAAACTTTTAGCCCCAGCAGAGCAGGAGACGGAGGATAAACTCTGCGTTTGACCAATGAGCTTTTTGTCCACGGAAAATAAAACAAGGTCCATCTAAAGAGACAAGCCAGCAGCAGGCTTGCTGAAATCCATCACCGGTGTCACAGTGAGAAACAAGTGGAATTTGTCATTGACATCAGACACATCATTTATACAGAAATGTCAGCGTCGCATTCGCATAATGATGGAAACAACAACGCTGAGGGCTCTGGGCCTCGCACTCTGATGGCTGTGTGCAAACGTCACCAATAATGTGTCTTTAGTCTAGACATGTCAGGGCTCTGTGGGATCTATATCCACGCCTTTTTGTCAGTGCCTTCAATCTTCCCTGTTGCTCAGGAGCTAAGTGCAAGAGATTAATAAGTGGATTTGTAATGCACAACCTCAGGTTTGACACTATAAGTCATCGGCTGTTTATCGCTCAGGCTTTCTGAGTAGATTGAAAAATGGCAGATGTGGAGTTAAGTTAGTCAGCCGGGCCTCCCGCCCCCTCTCTGTCTCTCTCGTTGTGCAGGACCAGGAGGTACAGTACGCCGCCGCAGCAGCAGCTAATGAGCAGCTTGTGTCTTTTCTGTTTGTTTCCCTCCGGCAGACAGATGACGTGACGCAAACAGAGGGTTCTCAGCAGCTCCAGCTCCAGCACTCAGACTCTTCAGAGAAGCAGCAGCCAAAAAGGTTACATGTCTCCAACATTCCCTTCCGCTTCCGGGACCCAGATTTGAGGCAAATGTTCGGGGTGAGTAGCTCCAGGAAACTTATTTCTACTGGCACAGCAGCAACACTCACACACTAACCCTGTTTCCACTGATTATATAATTAGGCATTTTGACATTCTGAAAATAAATTTGCTGAATGGAAACATGGCAATTTTGAAAAGACTCGTTCAACAAAAACTTTTGGCGCTAGATTTTTTGGCAGTATTGAAATTGCAATGGAAACACTTTGTGTCACATCACACAAGTTATTTTTCATTTTATTTTATTTTCCATTCAACCAGGTGGGTTATTAGGAAGTAACTGGAACAAAGATCCAGCAGCCCACTTTACCAAAAATAACATGTTTTATGTTGAAATCATAAGACATTAAAAACAATAGAGACATAAAATCTTCATCTGAAGCCTGTGAACGTTTCAGACATTTTAAAAATACCTTTTAAAGTTCCTTCCAGTCTGCAGCATCATGCAAAGATAATTCTCCACATTTTGATTTCAGTGAGCGTGACGTGTTGATCGGAATACGTGACAGTCACATGATCAGCAACCAGGAAGGAGATGACAGGAAGTAGTTGAAGGATGATGAGGTTTATTTTTTAACGACTTATCAAACGTATCCACGTGATTTTAATTCTGTTTCCGCAAATTGTTTTATTTTTTTCCACAAAGTTTTGCGCACATTTATAATGGAAACGCAGCCAGTGACTCGACTGATTCAGCTGTTCGCAGGATGTTCCAGTTCGCTACGTCTCCACTAACAGGAAATGATCGCACCGTCTAGAAAATACAGGAAAGCACAAACAGTAACTGGAGGCTTTGCTGCAGCTGTCATCTAGTTAATGCATTGATTACTGTGTTGTCTGGGGAGAAAAGAGTGGCTTGGAAGATTTCGCAGGTGATAAACAGCTCAATCAGTCACAATCAGCTCCTGAACTCTGTGGGTCAGACACGAGGGAGGCGGCGGCTGAGCGATGAAACCTGCCGCCGATCCCCAACCCGTCCGCCGTTAGCGGCTCGCGTCCGATCCAGTTTGAACACCCGGATCTGACGGATCTTCATCGTCTCCCGGCCAATTAATGCGCCGGCTCAGCGGCTCACCTTTGTGTCTCGCACAAGCTTCGATACGAAGCCAACCGGATTCAATAACAATAATGGATCTGAAAGGAGACGATGGCCAAAAATGTACTTCAAATGTTAGGCGCTAATTGGACCATTAGCAGCCAGAGGCGTTAATTTTAGCCGTTATGAAGACAACACTGAGCTGATGATATTAATTACCAGAGAGCCCTAGCTGTGGCTTTATAAATTGCACACAACATGGCTGCTTTCTCTCTCTGATTGTTGGCTTTATTGTTCCCAGCTCTGGTGCAGGTCGTGTGGAATCCAAATCACCGGCGTAATTAGCTCGGAGGCTTTGTGTGCCTGGCCGCTGCATGCAGATATATGATGGAAAATTGATTGCAGCCCACCCAGCCTCCCTCAATCACATGTTGCCCTCTCCTTCCCGTTGCTCGCTGGTTGGCGAGGTGGAGGATTGTGGGATTGATTGTCTTGGTTGGAGCTTGGCGTAGAGATAGCAGGTCCGCTCCACCCTCTGACACGGCCTCCACAATGGGGCCTTTGTGTGATCAGTGTGTGCAAAGCCTCATTCCTGCAGCTCTAATGGCTTCTGGAGCGCCACCGGCTCAATACGCCATTACCGCTACGCATGAGTGAAGCCCACAGACAGGAAGACGGAGGAGGCGCCGCGCGGGCTCCCAGGAACCCGGAACGAGACGGGAGGGCCCGGGATGCCCCCCGCACGCTGCCGGGTTGGGGGACCTGTGAGCCTTTAACGAGGCGCTGAATGAAGGTCTCATTAGGGCATCCACAGCGGACGCTAATCAGTAATTAGAAACTGTGATCTCTGAGAGCTGGTAAGTGCGCGGGAAATGAAAACACTCCAGCGAGCGCCGCGCGGAGCCCACGCTGCGCCGCTCGAGGGTGCCCTCATTTGTGAGCGCCGCTTTTTCAGCAGCGCGTCTCTGGGTGGGTGTGAGGGCTCTCACAGCGTTCCCCAGAGCAATCAGACCCCACTGTCACGCTGACTGCTGCGCCCCCAACACGCAGGCCACTGCCACCTCATTACGGCGCTCTGAGCAGCGCTGAGACGTTCAGGATAATCAAAGGTGGATCCTGTTTGGCTTGAAAAGGCTGCAGGTCCACAGCTGAGAGGAAAATCTCTCTCAGTTTACAACCTCGGCTCATTAACCGGAAAAAACAGAAACATGCAAACGCTTTGACAAGAAAGTGCTGAATTGATCGTATCATCATTTACCATGATTTTGATGCAGTTATTTATTTGGATCAGCAAACATTGAATAAAAAACATTTATTACAAAATCAGTTACACTATAATATTACTAGGCGATTCTCAGTAAGCAATAAATCAATTAATCGCATGATAAATTAAAACAAACTCAATAATTTCCATTTGCATGTTTTATTGTTTTTATCTTTCTACCAAAAACTGGATGATAAAAGTCTTCAGTTTGTGGTTTTGTTTACAGACTTCATAATTAATTTAATTTATTGTTTGTGTTGTTTTATTTATTTTGGATGTTTAAAATGTCTTCCAGTTCCAGTGTTGAATAGAGTTGAAAGTTTATTGATCTTTCAGAATCTGTTGTTGCATTTTATGCCATTATTTTTATACTAGTTGAAAATGGTCTGAAAACAACAATGTTATCATTTATCACAATTTATTGTCCAACACAGTTTGTTATTATGACAGACCTAAATATAACACAGCATTCTGATTCTGAACTATTGCAACATTTTATATAGTAAATAATTAAGCAGGGTTCTTTTAAATGCTCCTGCATTTATTTAAAAATACCAATAAATCTGATAAAATCCAGTAACTGTGTGTCTTTATTTAAAGAAACAGATTATAAATGGAAATGTTTGTTTGTGGGGCTGTAACTGCTGTGACAGTAGCAGACATGAAGTTACCTGTAGAAGAAGGAATAAATAGCTCTTGTTACTTTTACCGTTATCACAATATTCCCACAGATTACCGTGATAAAGGTTGAAGTTTGTACCACTCACACCTGGTATAAAGTCCTTGAAAGTCTCTGCAGTTTTTTAGTAAAGTGGAAACTAATATTCTGTCTAAAACCCTAAAATTGGAAAGTGATCATTGTGTCGAAGTCATTTCAGAGACGTGGGATCTGGACTCTTCTGCTCTAAAGTCATCTCATCACGTTGAGGCACCAGGCTGGACGAGCTGAAGTGTTGAATTAGATTCTTCTCCAACTTGTTCATGTCAGTTCAGCCTTAGTTTCTATTTGTTCAAGTCGAGTTCAGTCGGTTGTGGCTCACCTGGTTGGCGCTCTCAGCCAGCGAGTTTACAAAAGTTGGAAACGGCTTTGAAACTGATCCAAAACTTCTGCTGATTTGATCAAATCACCAACTTTACCTAAATTCACGTCACATGATTTTTACCTGTCCTAAACGACAAACCCCCTGAAACCAGAGCAAACGGAAAATGTACAGAAGTTTAGATGCTAACCAGTTTTTCCATATATGCTTGGCTACCTGATGGTTTATTTATTCCATGTTTACTAACAATTAGACACATACCTTCTCCATAATGACTGTATTTTACTAAGCCTACTTATGAAGTAAATGAATATTAACCATCTTGTATTCACTACAAGTCTGATGGCCAGTTTGTTTGCCTCCTCTGTTCTTACTGTGAAATCAACTAAATAAATGTGATATTAAACGACCAATTGTCTTTGGACAGTTGGAGATCAGCCTTAACCCACATAGTGCTGAGCTTTAAACAGAAATGAGCCGAAAACGGACGTCATTTATCCAACTTGGCGATAAATCTGCACTTACCTATGATAGACGCAAACAAAAGCTAACCAGCTAGCAAAGATATGTTAACAGCTGGGCAGCAGCAGCCTCAAATGTCTCAGGTCACAGAACAAAATGAAGACGTCTGTTTCCAAGTCAAACGTCAGAAAAGTCCAGTGAGAAAAGATGCAACATTTATGAGAATGTACAAGATTAAATACTCCTGCCACAACAAACTTTAAGGCAAACTTACATTTAAATAAATGTAAAACATTTTAGGGTCTTAATTTTAGAAACAAAGGTAAGAGTTTTAAGGGTTTTTGAGCTGGTTTGCTCCTTTTCATGTGAGAAAACCATCTGAGCACGAAGCCGTGTTTAGCTAGTCGCTCACAAACCAGGGAAGTTTCAACAGGCTCAAATTCAGAGGTTTGTCTAATACACATTAAGTTACCACCAGATTTTAAGAGAAAAGAAGGTTAAGTGGATATTTATATTGTATTTAAGCTTTTAATGTGACCAGGAAGGTAATTTACCTCAATGTAATAAATACTTATTATTCCTAATAGCTCAATGAGTTACTGATCTGTGTAATTAAAAAGGTGAAGGTATTAAAATTGGGGATTTTTGTTGTTAAATTTGTGTTTTGCTCTCAGACCAGTCAGGTGTGTAAGAGACTTTCCAAATCATAACATTTTGCTACATTGCTGTCAGAAGACATTATGAATGAAGACAATAATAACTTACCATGAAAATGTTTGAAACGTTCTTGGACTTTAAAAGTGTCGGTGAGTTTTTTCTTTCTTTCAGTTGTGGTCGGTGATCACTGTCCTGTTTTCTGCTCAGTTCCAACATTTTTACAGTGAAGTTTTAAACTTTTTCAGAGATAAAAGCCAAAATGAACTAAAGCAGACAGTTTCAATTCACTATTTTTTTTCTTACTGTTATTAAAAATATCTCATGATGGTATTCTACATTTTACAGTACAATGTAGACTAAAATATAACAAAATGTTTTAAAATGTCTCTCATGCAGCCTAAACACCAGACGGTTCTGAGAAAACAAAAAAACCCACTAGTTTAACAAAAAAACTTTTATTTTAATTACACAGATCAATAAGTTATTGAGGAATAATAATCATTACATTGAAACAATCCAAACAAAACGCCAAATTAAGAACAGGAAGTTACAAAGAAAACGTTCTCAAGTTTTCTGTCATTTAGTTTCTAACTAACCTGAAACAAGAAGCGGTTAGTCTGATTGTCTTTTTATTGTTTGAAAATATCTGGTTTCAATTGTAACAACAGAGATGAGTCGCTTTGCACAGGTTTTGGGAGAATCCATCATTAGATTGCACTTTATTACAAAACTGCACTTTGAATATTAAGCACTTTATCAACTGAAATTCAAGCCTTTTGAAGGACTTGAAGCACCTGTATGAACCGTGTCTGCATCGACGCATGGAAGTGCAGATTAAAAGCTGCGAGGAAGCTGGTGTGAACGTGTGAGCGTTTAGATGTTGGGTGATAAATGGACTGAAACGTGAGGAAGCGCCGGTGTGGTCGCTGAACTTAAAGCTGCTCTGTGGATGGATGGAGCTGCAGTCCCACGCTGTAGATGACATCAGTCTCTCCCTCTGGAGACTCCTCCCATTGAAGCTATTGTTTATCGCTGCTGCTGATGCAGCTGTTTATCCCTGTGTGTGTGTGTGTGTGTGTGTGGGTGGGGATAGGAGTGAGATCAGTGGTGAGCAGCGAACAGTCCCCAGCGCCATGTGGAAATCCACAAAGACGACTTCCTCTGAAACTAATTAATCGACGCCACAAGCCCATTACACTCGGTTAAAACAATTAGCATCTGCACGTAGCGTGGGGGAAGCATTGTCTTCTCGGGCGAGAAAGGGGGCGTCACGCTGGGATATAAATGCCTGCGCTCCCTGTTTGAGTCAGTGGAGCCGAGCGCCGCAGCAGACAGATGTGCGGACAGGAGCGGAGATGCGGTGCGTCGCCCTTAAAAGGAGCAGGAAGCAGAAGTTTTTCTGCTCCGCAAGCCCACTCCACTGTCTGCAGCCGGATAATAGCCAGCTCCTCCTAACCCCCTATTAGCGGCTCAGTCAAACGATCCATCCATTCCCATTGAGCGCCGACCACATGGAAGGCCCATTTCTTCCCTGTTGTGCTGAAATGAAGGCGATGCGGACCGCTTGACAGGGTAATTACTTTTAATGAAATAATACGGCCATTGTAGACAGCAATTAAAAGTCGCACTCGCTCCACTCATTAGAGGAACTTACAGTTTACTTTCATTCCTCTGTTTTCTAATGATCCGAAGGCAGGCCTGTTAAATCGAAAGGCTGGAGCGCGGTAACCCCCGGGGACGGGCCCTGAGGTTCTGCTGGCCGCACAAACACAAAACAGAGCGGACCGGGGAGGAGGCGGGAGGCAGCAGGAAGTTTTTCCAGGGTGATGACATCAAAACGGCGTCGGAAATAAACAAACTCTGATCAGAAACGCTGCGAAATTATCAAAGATCAAGCATTTCTACAAACGTCTCGTTTCACTGATACGAATCCAGACGCGTTAAAGGAGCAGCAGCAGCAGCGATGAGTTCTCGCCAACAACCTTCAACAACTGTTTGCTCAGCTAACAAATGCAAATTGACCACCATTTCCCCACAAAAGTAACATTTCCATATCGCCTTAATGGTTTTTCTCTCTCCAGCCTTCCTCCTCATGAATTCACAGCCAGCCAAGCTTTCTAACTCCATCTCTGCTCTTCTGTCTTTCTTTTCTCTCCGCAGCAATTTGGAAAGATTTTAGATGTGGAGATTATCTTTAATGAGCGAGGATCCAAGGTAAGTGAACTAGAACGCCAGCTGCTTCATTACCATGTACTTCTTCTGTTTCCTAATGATGGCATTAGTGTGGTGTGTACATTGGCGAAGAGTAGCCGTCTCTAAGCCCGGTCCTGCAGAGCCGAATTCAGCCGGCCCCTCGCTCTCCGGCTCCCTCCCTCCCTCTTGTTTTGTTGTCTGTTGCAGCTCTCACACAAGTTGTGAATCATTAGTCCTGTCAATCAATTTATTATTGAGCTGTTTCACATTTCGCCTAATCCACCAGCAAGCTGCAGGTCCTCCAGCAGATGGGAAGGAGCCTGCTCCAAACCTGACCATTCATTCAGATGGCTTCATGGTATTCAGATTCAGATATTCACTTTGTGAGGAAACGTAGGATTTAAAACATCCAGCTGACGAGAAGATCCATGAGAACCAGATGAGATTTTAAAAGAACTGAAAATGGATTCAAAGGTTTGAGCAAAGACCTGAAACCTTCATGACCTGGTCGTAATGTTTTGCTTAGTCTGGGAGCATAAAATGTTTCAGAAATGAAACTGGAACCAATGATTCAGGGTGTTCAAAGTGGGGTTTGTGGGCCATTTGTGGCCCCTGTCTACAATTCCAGAATGAATTTGAAAGATGTTACAAGTGAAATAATCTGAAACTAGTCCTTTTTAATCTGGATTATTTACTAAAAACAAGCTCATTTATCTTGCTTGTAATTTAGTTTTCTTATTTTTCAGTGCACCAAGACAGTTTGCACTACAAACTAGATCAAAAATAATTGCTAATATTTTTATGTTATACATTTTATTCAACTCAAATCTGCTTTTAATTGCTGTATTAGCATTTGTCTAAATATAACAAGTGTTTTCAAATGACGTATATAGATCATGTTTTTATTGCTATAAAGAGAGAAAATATTTTTTACATTTTCATCAGAGCCCAAAACTATCAGCACATTCAGCATTTAGCTTTCAATTAACGATTAAATTAAAATAGTTCATGCTTAGTTTATTATTGAGTTTGTGGGGAAAAAAATCTACATTTTTGGTGATTTTAGATTTTAAAAAAGGGATTTTTGTTCCTTTAACAATGGTGGGTGAAGTTGAGGCTACACTCACACAGCATCTCTCGATGCTCACTTCTGATTTTTTGCTGAAATCCAATATTTTTTGCGCAGTCGTTCATGCTACTAATTAAATGCGACTGCAGTCAGACTTCTGTGAACGGCTTACGTCCCAAAAGCGACCCGCATGTGCAGAAGAAGAACGTAGATGTCCCGCCGCAGCGCTCCGTTTACGGCAGTAATAATGGCCGCCGTCGTCTATGACTGGATAAAGTCAGAGCCGACAGAATCATCACCAAATCAGAACAAGAGTAAAAAAAACAATGAAGTCCAGCTAACAGCAGCAGCCTGTTGACTGCAGCTTCTGTACACAGGTCAGTCTGGATGTGGAGTCAGACAAATCCATCCTCAGCAGTCGTTTAGTCCAGATTAACAGCGTCTGGCTTCTTCTGCTGCAGAACCATGATGCACATCTCACATCAATGACATAAAATTTGGATTTGGCTCAATAAGATATGATTGAATGGAAGATTTTTCTCTGGTGAAAAATTTAATTGGACCGTTCAGGCTGCTATGAAAAAGTGTGATGTAGGTTGTAAAAAATACAAACAGATTTGGATCTTCTGATGAGCTTTAGCATTTTGCTAACGGTAGTAAGTTGCTTCAGTTGTCATGGTTGTCCTGTGGTTGAAAAATGTAATTCCCTCTGGGATTAATAAAGTTTTCTTTGATTGAACTGAATTGAAACTGGTGTGATCTGAACCCTGTAGAGAATCTATAAACTGTTGTCATAGCAACCTAGACTTCCTGAACACCTGAGGCTGATCTCCGTGCTACACCGCATTGATGCAGTAATTTATGCGAAAGGAGTCCAGACCAAGAACTGATACTGTTCAGTAGGGACACATTTCTGGATTAAGATCATTCTTTTTAATATTCTAATTTTCTGTTGGCTATAATCATCCACAAATAAATTCCTAAATCTACATATTTAGATTTAGTGACTCAAATTAACTTTTTAATGATATTTTAATTTATTTAAGTGTGCCTGAATAAATGGAGTGACCAGCTTCAAGCAATCGTTACACAACCAAATAAATATAATTTATCAATATTGAATATATCTAGGCTGTTCCACACAAATAGGACATCATGTGTCCATATGTTGAATAAATTAATTTAAAGGAGCCACATGAAGGATGAAGTTGGCCTTATTTTGCATTTCTTCTGGTAATAAATAAAAAAAATCCAATAATAAGACCAAAACTAACAATGTGCGACTACCTTTCTCAGCACTTTCTGGCTGCCCCTCTTTATGCGGCGCTCGGCCCCGCGCTCGCTGGTTCCCACCCCGGTTGTTAGTCTTCATAAAAAGGTCACAAATATGCAGATTTATTTAAATAAGAAGCAGCTCAGCATTTTTCCCCAAACATGGAGCTGCTGTAGTTTTAAGTAAACAAAGCTCCAACTGGGAGGCGAAGTGTCGGGCAATACGTCCATCACGCACTTTAAAACTCATCCAAAATAAGCGCCCGGTGACCGAACTTAACCCCGACACGGATCGCATCAATCCCTAACGCTGTCTGGGCAGGAGAGGCAGGAAAAATGGCTGCTGCAGCGAGGCGTAGCTGCGGTATCAGTCAGGACAGGTGAAGCCTGCGGCGGCGTGAACGGCCCAGCGCGGCTCATCCAGCTGTTCCTTTAATGGAGTGTAGAAGCTCCACGGCTCTCCATTCATAACGCCGACAGCTGAGTCACGAATACTATCGATTCCCATTCATAGCTGGGAGCTACTGGGAGCTACTGGGAACTACTGGGAGCCACTGGGGGCCGCTGGGAGCTACTGGGAGCTGCTGGGAGCTACTGGGGGCCACTGGGGGCCACTGGGAGCTACTGGGGGCTGCTGGGAGCTACTGGGGGCCACTGGGAGCCACTGGGAGCTGCTGGGAGCTGCTGGGGGCTGCTGGGAGCCGCTGGGGGCTGCTGGGAGTTACTGGGAGTTACTGGGAGCTGCTGGGAGCCACTGGGAGCTGCTGGGAGCTACTGCTCTGGCGTTGGGGCGCGTGGAGGGTCCAGGAAGCAGCCGCCGCCCCAACGCCGCTGCCGCGCTCAGCCTCTTCTGCCAGACAAGATGGAGCACCGGATAAACCTGCCTCCTCCGCCGTAACAAGCATTTATTGTTTGTGCCCCACAAAGCCATTACCCATGATGCCTCTCTCCGTCGCGCGCTCTCTGTGCTATATAATGAACCTATCAGGCCATTAATAAATAATCTATTTCCTATGAAGCTTTGGCAATTTGCATTCAATATGTTTGTCTCCTTTGAAAAATGGCGCCTCCACTCTCTCCTCTTGTAAGCTAATTATTTGGCGTGATAAAAAAACGGAGTCGGGTGAGTGTCCAAAGGATTAATTTTGCCCTCAATTCTTCTTTTTTCCTGAATTTATTTCTTTATCTGCGTCCCCCCGCGGACAGGTCCCGTGTTATTTATGCCAGCGGCCGGGATCCTGGATGCTCGCCGTCTCTCACATGTATTACATCCTCCAGCAATTATCAGGCAGCAATGGCCATGCTCCCTGCAAACCGCCATGCGTATATATAGAAACTACAGGAATGGGACTTGTTTGGCCAGAATGTCTTAATGGCTCAGGTCCAGGATCCCAGTCCACATAACTCAGCGAAGTGACAAACCCCCCCAGAGGAGGGGGGAGGGGGCCTTTATTCTTACTTTCTGTTAAGATGTTGAACCTTTAAGATCAGGTTTCACACTGCAAAAACACAAAAGTATTTTTGGTCTAGTTTCTGGTACAAGTATCTTAATACACTTTAAATATGAAAAAACTAACTTAAAAATAACTTCTCAGTAAGATATAGGAGTTTGTTTTAACTCAAATCCTTAATATTGATTTAAAGTGTTAATTAGGCAGATTTTCTCTCTAAGAAGACATTTTACCTATACTGTAAGTGAAATAATCTGCCTTTTTAAATCAATGTCAAGTCATTATTGACTTAAAACAAACAACTATATCTTTCTGAAAAATTACTTTAAGATAGATTTGTCTTATTTGAAGTGTAATGAGATATTTGCACTAGAAATTAAATCAAAAATAATTGGTAAGATTTTGTGTTCTTGCAGTGAGAAATCCTCTTTTGCTCCCTCAAACGAAGGGGAACACAGAGAAAACAAAATCTTACCAAGTATTTTTGTTTAGTTTATTGTTAAAATATTTGAGTACATTTGAAATAAAACAGAACTAACTTTAAAGTAACTTTTTCAGCTTGTTCTAATTCAGTTACTAAAATCAGTCTTTCACTTTGATTTTATATAAGTACTAGTTCCACTGGCCTTTTCATCAATGCTAAGGAATTTCTTGTGAAAATAACTTTGTAGACTTGAAATAAGACAAAACTAACTCACAAGTAACTTTTCAGTAAGTTATTTTTCAGTAAATTATTAGCTTGTTTTGAGCTAATAATTTCATAAAACTGATAAAAGAAGTTTAGTTTGGCAAATATTCCCACTTATAACCAGGCATTTTCCTTATAATCTGCCAGTGGAACTTGTACTTTTTAATCAAAATTAAGGAATTGTTGACTCTATCTTGCTGGAAAGTTACTTGTAAGTTTATTTAGTCTAATTTTAAAAGTACTAAGGTATTGGCACTGGAAGCTAAACCAAGGGTACTTGGTGAAATTGTGTTTTTGCAGTGATGCAATAGGAGCGAGTTGTGCCGATAATTAAAGCGCCATCATGGCAGCCAGCCATGTTTTGCATTCGCTGGCTCCTGACTCGCCCGTGCCACGGCAGCTGTGGCGTTTAATTGGGTAAAGCGGGCAGGTCTGCTGGCGTTGCTGTGTGAGGTCGTGTCACCGTTCTCGGATCTCTGTTTGCTGTTTCCTGACGCCTCACTAACTGCCTCTAATTAATCTGGCTGCTTACAACTCGACTCCGCCGCCGCTGCTGCTCACCTTCTCCTGTCTTCTTACCTCTCTCCCTTCTCTTCTCCCTTTGTGTGTCCTTTCTTCCTCCACCTGTGGCGACCGCGCCGCTCTCAGGGCTTTGGGTTTGTAACTTTTGAAACAAGCACAGACGCCGATCGTGCGCGAGAGAAACTAAACGGTACAATCGTAGAGGGACGCAAAATCGAGGTGCTTCCACTTTTTCCCACATTTTCTCCTTTCCTGCCTGCTGTGTGCTCAGTTTACCAACTAATCCAAGCATTAGCATGTGGCTGCTGTGTGTGTGTGTGAGTGTGTGTGGATGTGGTTGCATGCATGCATAATGGTGCGTGTAATTTGTTCTCAGTAGAACGTGGGATCCATACATGTCCAGCTGGACGAGCCGCTGTCCATCATCACCTGACAGCAGAATGAATGCATGCCATCATCAGATCTGAACCTTCATTTCCTGCGTTTCATGTTTTCTGCTTTAATTCTGCTTTTGTTTACAAAGTCGCTCCTGTCAGGTTGACGGGGGAAACTCAGAGCGCAGGCTGGAGTTCCTCCGTTTCTTTGGCATATATTTGGGTTTGCAACCAATTAGTGAAACTGGAAGATGCTCGTTTTTGCTCAGACATGTAGGCTAATGATGCATGCTCTCATCTTTTTTTTCTTTAAAGCAGCAGAAATATTTCTGATGGAAACAACAATTTGCTGTATTTTCTTCTTCTGTTGCTTTTTTGTGCCACTGAAATGTTTCAGATCATCAAGCTAATGTTAAAATCAAATCAAATAACTCAAAAAATGCACTTTAAATGATTATTTCTTTAAATTAAGTTGTTAAAACCAGCATGGCTCTGTGTGGAAAAGTAAACGCTCACTTGATTAATAAATAAAGAACCACATTTTAAAGAAAGTCAGACCTGATTACTGCCTAAAATGGATAAATGAGCCTCAGATGTAAAGAAATTTAAGGTTTATGAAGTCATTTCTGAGGCACAGTGATAAATAAGACTGAAGCGATTTATCGATTATGGAAATAATTGTCAGCAAATCAATTAATTGTTAACTGGAATAAACTGAATTTTAAAAAGCATTTTCTGAAAGATCAACACAATGAAAGCAGTAATTAGACCAAAACTGTTCAAAAATACATCTTGCATTCAAAAACAGTTTTTTTCTACAGTTTTACCTTCACCTGATTCAATTTCTGTAAATAGATCAATTAAATAATCAGCTGATCAGTGTGAAACTATTAGAAAATGAAACCTGCAGCCGTTTGCTTTGCTGCTTCAGGATTTACTTTGTCGTAATCGACAGAACCATGAATCCTGCTCTCCTTTGGAGTGGCCTAATCAAAGTGCAGACTTAGAAATCCCCCAGTGTGACTGAATTAAAACAATTCTCCAAAGCGGAGTGATGTAAAAAAGCTCACTAAAACCAAGAATTCACATCTAAACATTTAAACTCTGGTTTCTGTTAAATTTGTCTGATAATCTGAAACAGAATTGATTCAAAAAGCACAAAAAGATTTTATTTTATTTTGAGAATGTCTTTCTTTCCTTTGGTTTGCTGCTTGCTTGTGGCCCTCCTGAATGTTTGGTTGTGTTGTTGGCGTCTAACCCCACAACGTTTTTCCTGCCATGCCAGGTGAACAACGCAACCGCACGAGTGATGACAAACAAAAAGGTGGCCAACCCTTACACAAACGGTGAGTCACCACATTTACTGTTTAAACCTTTCAAATTTATCTACGTACATTTAAACTAGTTATGTTAATTAAAAATCTAAACTGACAGCGTTATCCACTATTTGTTCCAGGAGAGCATCAATAATTAGCATTAATTTTAAAAAGTTCTGGTTCTACTGGGAGAATATTTCACTCATAACTTCAGAAAAATGTAAAATAATCTGCCAGTGGAACAAGCACTTTTTCATCAATATTAAGGAATTACTGATTTGCTGAAAAGTTACTTTTAAGTTAGTTTTGTCTTATTTGCACTAAGATATTTAAATCAAAAACACATGGTAAGGTTTTGCATTTTTGCAGTGTGTGCCGATAAATGACTTACATCTCAAATCTCTACGTCAGAATCATCCTGAAGAAAAATGTTTCAGATGGGAATGTTTGTGTTTGTAGGCAAAGCTTCCAAAAACTGCACTCAGGTAACAGTAGCAGTATTTAATATATTTCTATTCAAGTAAAAACGTTTACTCAAGTACTGAGTAACTGATCAAATGATCAGTTATTTAATATTTAAAGATTACATCATCAGATGGATCCAAGTATAAAGCTGGTATTTCAGGTAGAAAATTATGGTAAAATATCAAAATCTGGCAAAAGAAAATGTTTAAAGTCAATAAAAAACTCAAAACTTTAACAAAAGCTGAAGGTGTCTGTCGGGTGAATTTTTGTTTTTCATTCAGCAGAAATTTTACTCAAGAGTAGAGATACTTCAAAATAAAATTACTCGTAAAAGTGAAAAGTAAATTTTCTATTAAAAAAACAGTTACTGAAGTAAATGTAGGTGAGTAAACGCAGCGCTGGCTGCGGTGAAAGCTGTGCCGTAACGTCAGCTAAAAGAAGAAGAAATAACTCGTTTTTAATGTCATTTCTAAGCTGTGTTGTTGTGTCTGCAGGCTGGAAGCTGAACCCGGTAGTAGGAGCCGTGTACGGTCCTGAACTGTATGCCGGTAAGACTGTTTGCTTATTTCCCCCAGTGCCTTTCCGCCGCTATCAGCCGCAGCCAATCCCGATCTGACCCCCTGAATTCCTACAATCGGGTTCATCCTGAAGCGACTGAACATGAAATTCCCCGTGAATCAAAGTGAATCTGAGCGCGGCGCCGATAAGCAGTGGATGATCCGAGCCGCTCCGAGTGGCTGAGGGAGCCTGAGCCATTGTTTGCGCAGTGTGCAACTGTAAAGCTGCAGGAAAAGAAGAGAAAAAAAATGATTTCAAGAGCAAGCGCCCCTGCAACTGTTATCAGATTGTGGAGGCTGCTGCTGTGGATGGATTTGCCAAGTGCGCCAGATTGACTTTTACAGAGCTAACCGAATAAGGGAGATTGAGTGAGAGATATTGTTGGCACCCACCCTGTCGAAGGCCGCTATTCCTTCTGGTCTCAGTAATGGAGGAGCGAGATGAGCTCAGTGGGGTTTTCCCTATCTCTCCCTGCCTCGACATGCCAGCTTTATTGCTGTATGTTATATGAACCCTTTGCATTTTAATGAGGGGGAAATGGTACTATTTCATTTGGAAGAAGTGCTGAGCACATCGCGCCACTTTAACGGCTTTCCTTTCTGCTCATTAGACTAAAATCTGTTCATTCCCGGGACAGCTTTACGGCGAACCTCTAAATAACTGTCCATGACAGAAAGCAGTCATCTATCATTTTTATTTCAGCTCCAACCCCTCACCCTGCCTCCCACTCACCTCCCCCCCCACCGCACTCCTTTCGTTTCGACATCTTCCTCTGATAATTATTTGCACACACACACACACGCACACAGGCTCCTTTTACGGCCTCACGCTCATTCATCTGGACGCGATCGGGAAGAATTTTCCCAAACCGAAATGTGAGCGTCATATAAGCGAGCGTTCACGTTCCCGGCCTACATGCAGCTCCACCACCTGCCCCGCTTTCAGACTCTCAGACCAAAGCATCGCAGCATACAGAAATAGATAACCTATGTAGAACACAGACACTAATACATGTCTCCTCTTCCATGCACGCTTCCTCTATTTTCCTCACACACACACACACACACACACTTCCCAAATCATCTCATAAATCAGAGGGAGTGTGGTCCACCACTCCAGGCAGGGGAAGCAGGAGGGGCTGCGTGATTTATTGGCTGCTAATTTTTCAAGTCGTCTTGACATGGCGCTGGAGTTTGCCAAGCCTAAACGACAACATATGCTTGCCAGCTGGGAAGATGGGAAACATAAATAAGAGATACATTTTTGAAACAAAATGTGTGAAAAACTGCTTCCTTTTTGTTAAAAAAAACAAGACTTGAGATCTTACGGTGTTTCCTCTTTCAGGAAAAAAAACCAAAAACAACAAAAAAACCCAATCATGTTGCAGAATTTTCCCAAAATCGTCTCAGTTATAGTTAATATAGTTTCGGTGGGAGTAAAATGGGATATAAAGGCGATTAATCACTGTTTATCAGTCCTCATTTCTGTGCAGGAGATCAGTGAAATTGGGAGCCATAAATCCTGGCTCGGTGACAGCACACTTCGTCTCCATTCGTCCTGGCGCTACAGGTTTATTGTCCTCAAAACCCATTCAGGAGAATGACGGATGAGAGCCTCACGCCGGCTCCCCGCTCTTAACCTCTTCCAGGGTAGATTGGCTCCTCCTCCCGGTTGGGGAGGGCGGCTGGCGGGGTCTGCGGCATCGGCCCCTGGCTCCACTTCCTCCTCCAACTGAGGGCTCCCAATTAAACGAAGAGAGCTGGCAATAAAAGTTAGCGCTGGCACAAATGATGGTGTGCAGTAGCTGGTAGGCAAACAATAGCTGTGCTTACCTTTCTCCTGTTTTAATGTGCACTAATGTGATTTTAAACTACATAATTTATGCAGAATGGACTCAAACGGCCATGCAGGAACACATGGGTGTGGTGCTGGAAGTGGCAGCAGCGTGAGCGGCTTCTCTGTTAATGGAAATGATTAATTAGACGAGCGTTACACGGTTTCATATTAGTTTAGATTTTTCTGTTCATCAAAACAAACCAGATGCAGGTGTTGGAGTTGAGTTAAAACGGAAAAGAAACGATTAAGAGAAATCCTCGGAGGCGGATGTGCGTGTTGCACTGTTTAGCTTGTTGCCATGTAATTGGCAAACTTTTCTTCATTACTGGCGCTGGAGGCTTTGGGCGCCGCAGACAGCTGTCACTTAGAGGCGCCGTCGTATGGCCGCCCCCTCAGGCTACCACTCACACGCTCTTCTCTGCAGCTAATTCCAACAGAGACAGCAGATGAGTGGCTTTTCACTCACCAATTCATATCTTCACTTACTAAGGTGGAGTTTTCTTGAGGACTGGTGGAAATCCAGCAGCTGTGTAAATGACAGAAAAGAAAGGCTAATTGCCGTCTTAATATATGTAGACAGATCCTCTCATTGTTGGAGTGTACTTTAGGGGGATAATTAAGCTCCAGACTCTTGATTAGATTAAGCTGTTTTTGGTCCCCGGTGCGTGGATTAAACGCTGGTGTATCTGAGCAGGAAGTATTAGAGAGCTCAACCTTGTGGAAAATCAGATCTTTCTTTATGGGAGCCGGTTACGACCCCATCATTGGCACAGAGCGGGATTACCCCGGGTCCGACTGGCTCTGCAGGTATTGAGCTCCTCTCAGGTTGACACGGATGACATATGAGGTGCAGCGTGACCCCGCCGCCCTCCAGCACATAACTCATATTTTCCCCGGCGCCCCTCCTGGAAAAGGTGTTTGACTTTGGTGGCTGGAGCCGGCGTGTGCTCCTGCTCGCCGCGCCTGTTGTTGCTTTTCACGCGCCTACCAAGGTGTGACAGTGTCTTTGATTTATGGGTTATTATTGAAGCAGTGTAGCCTATCGCCAACTCATTATGAGTTTACATTCACATACATCACCGCATGCAGATTGCATACAAATTTTCAAAAAAGAAAGGAAGACGCATAATTTATTTTTCTTTGGAGGAAACACCTTAGAACGAGGGTGTATGTGCCCTTTAGCGACTGCATTTTCTGACGTCCACTGCTCCCAAAAAAAAGACTAATTTAAATGTCAAGGTCAGCACTATAAATCACTTTTGGGGGAAAAGGGGCACCGGTTGGTGCAGCAGCAGTAAACAAAGTGGCCTGCATGTTAGTGGGTGGGTGCAACGCTGGGCGTCACCTGGCCAAATGAGATGCAAACTTTGAATGTGTGTCTGGACCCACTAATGGAGCATGATGTTAATGGTGGAAGACATTAAACCTGGCTCTGCGTGTTTTTAAAAGCACCACTAATCTGTCTCCTTGTCAGCTTTATTGAAGCAGCGGGGCCGGACTGCAGCGTTGTTCATTACGGTGCCCAGTGGTTGCAACCAGCTGCGTGGTTAACGCCACAAACACTGAGCGCGCACCGACGCTTCCTTCTGATTGGATCCATGCTATTAACCGGCCAACGAGTTCGTACCCTCCGATCGGAGGCGCTCTGCCATGAATTCACTCAAAACTCGTCACGGAAACGAGGAAAGAAGAAAAATTGGGTTTCTGCAGGCTTCAGCAACTCCAATTTGAGTTTTTTAAAACCTTTTGGCTAATATGTCCAGATTTATTTATGTTAACTAAAATGCTACTTTTTATTCTCTTAATGAATAACTGTCATAATTTAGCTCAAAGATCATTCAGGAGAAAATTGTATATTGGACTCACTTGACTGATAGCTATTTACACCGTCAATGCGCCCTCTAGTGGATCCTTATTATAATAGTAATATTATAATCACATCTTTATGAGCTTGAAGATGTTATCAGACTGTAACCCAATGTGTTCATGGGAAACAATAATTTATTACTCAATCTTTCTCATGTTTGATTGTTGTACGCTGACACATAGATCAGTCCAGGGAAATGCAGTTAAATAGTTTTTGTCTTTACAAAAAGAAAAAAGAAATAAAACCACCGTCTGGAAGAATCTCTTTTAGCTCACATGAAAATTAGCTGTGCTTCCAGCAGAGATTGTGCAGCCACAACCAATATGAGTTAAATTTAAGAACTGTATCATGACAGAAAAGTACTAAATAAAACTGCATATGTTATGTAGCAGTTTCCTATTTTTGCACAGAATGAATCAAAGTCCGTATGGATTAGCAACAGAACTGAGCCAATGGCGAAGACAAACATCCAGCAAACAGCGACCAATTACAGATGCAACAAAGCTAGTTATCCAGGTACGACTTTACCGAATGTAGTGTAATAAAAGAAAGTTTTATACAAACAAGATAAATTTAAAACAAAAAGTAAGCAAAGAACAGTAAAGCATAATTACACATTCCAAGGAGCTTATTTTTTACACCCCTCCCCTTACATCAGTTTTTATGTTAGCCTAGTTATAACTCTCTTATATTCATATCTGTGACTGGAACAACCCATTCAGATGTGCATTGTGAGGAAGAATCAATCATTTTTAAGGAAGTATTGGCCTCAACTGCCCGAATCCCCAGAACTGAGTGGAAGAGTCTGTGTGCGACTCAAACGTTTGGCTAAACAAAAAGTCCTTCAAGAAAAATAAACTACATATGAGAGTAAATAGTCTTAAATTAGTGTATTTAAGGATAACTTACTTTTTAAGACTTTTTAATTTTAGATACAGCTTGAATAAGTTGAGGCGAGGATGACGATGGGGTGTTTCCAGAGGATGAAGGATAATGGTGCTGACTGTTTTTTGATGGACTCGGTTCAGGAGGTGTGTGAGGGAATTACAATTGCAGGAAGAGTGGAGCCCAAGTTAATCATGTCTGCAGATCAGTGTGTTTGTATGCACCTCTGCAGGCTGTAATCAGACAGCCTCCGGACTGATTGAAGGTTAAACGGAGACCTGAAGTTCCCATTAGCTGTCCTCTAATCTTGCCTTGGCCATTTTCTCACATCTGCCTTCGCTTTTCACCCCGAGAGATCAGCTGATTGTCGGATCATCCAGTCAGGTTGTCCTGGAATTGCTCCTCTTCAATTTAAACCCATCGGGTCCAAACTGTGCGAAAGCTGTGGAGCGAAACTAGTGGTGCGGCATCCATTAGCCGCCCGGACGCCAAGGCTGGCGAAGAACGGCAAATGTGGATCCTTGCTGAGTGCGACACAAAGCAGCGAGCTGGGGAAGGGGAGATGCTCGATGAGGCGCACCTAGAAAAGATTAAATCTATTGTTTCCTTGTCTTCCACATAATGCATTCTGTCATAGAGAGAGCAGAGCCACACGTCCCTCTCTAATGTATTCTGTCATAAGGTAAGCAATGCCAAGTGGAGGCTTTTCTCTGAAAGTCGTTTTCTCTCCGCAGTAACAGGGTTTCCCTACCCTGCCACAGGCGCTACGGTGGCCTACAGGGGTGCCCACTTGCGGGGACGGGGACGAGCCGTGTACAACACGTTCCGCACAGCTCCGCCTCCGCCACCCATCCCTGCTTACGGAGCGTGAGTCTCTACTCTCTAAACCTCTGAACACATCCACCAGCACTCCACACAGTAACCTCAATTCACAAATAGAAAGATTCACCTCAAGTAATCAAATTCATCATGTTAAAATGTGACAATATAGGTCCATTAAACACAGAGCAATGCATTTTAAAGGAGTAGTATTATGTATTATTCATAATACACTCCATACATGAAGTGCTGCTTTGATTCTTTCATGCATGTTTGAGAAATCCTGTAATCTCCATGGCAACCATTCAGCTGCTAAAACGCCTGGATGGACCTAGCCCCGCCTTGAAGACGCAGCTCCTCCCCCACTCAGCTCCTTCAGACTAGCCAGCAGCAATTAGCAAACGCCTGGTGGGCATTAAATCCCAAAATAAAATTTCTTTCAAGTCACATTTGGTGTATATAGCATTTTTATAACTGGAGGTAACATAGTTACTTAATTATGCTACAAAATGGCACTGTCTGTGGAAAACACATAATACCAC